AACAGTTTATTTTCATAAACATTTCGGTTTACCCTTCTAGTCTAACGGGAGTCGGAATCATCATATTGAAAACATTAGCTTAGCTATTAGAAATTGCGACACTTATGTATCATATAAATCAAATAAAGACAAATGTGAACCTAAATATTATTCATATGGAATAAAGAAGTTATATGTTTTGCACACAACATTAAGATGTATGACAAGTGCACTTAATTACGATTTATTTAGAATAAATATTAAAAATATATGACTCATCATGTCAATGTGGCCATGGATGTGAGAATGTTTTTCATTACTTCCTTGAATGAACTCTTTTCACACTTACTGTGTTTTTAACGATGTATGCAGCGCCGTTGAGCTTCTGTTATGGAAACTAGGCGTTATACAAGCCAATTATTATTATTGTGTCCATTGTATTACTACTCAAAAACATAAACTGTTACAATCTTTAGACAGTTTTGTTAAAATTAGAACACTGATTGGTATTAATCGTATCTTACATGGCAATGCAGGTGTCTCATTTACTGCAAATCAGAATGTTTTCAAATATGTACATATCTATATCTCTCTAACAAAACATTTTCTCAGTTAACTTCTGTTGTACATATACTATTATTGGGAGGGGTCTTTTCTATCAATAAACACAATCAAACCTCTTAGTGACAAACTTGTTTTTTATATTCGATAGTAATTGATAGTAAAATCAATTTTGAGAATAGAAATCATTTATGATTTAATCACAACAAAGTTCTATTTACCCACAATCAAACTTCTCAGTAACGAACCTGTTTCAGGCTCACCCTGTTCTACTCACTAGAAAGTGGACTGTTCCATTATACCCGTAGGTGTTACCCTAATTAACCTTCTGGTTCAGTGTCTGCAAATTGGGTGTCTGAAATGGGAGATAACCGCTTCGAAAATCTAGGCCCTGGATCCCACCAGCTTGTGATTGTGATTAGCCAAAGCCGTGTCAATACACACACAAAATTGACACTTCTTAAAGGTTATCGTCACATGGCCTAATGGATGGACTCGCTAGCTGTTGAGCGGACGGCCAGTGGTTCGATGCCCGGCCGCATCACACCAAAGTACGTCATGTACGCTACTTGTTGTTACCCTGTCTGGCGACCGGCATCAGTGTGTTACCCAAGAAGCTGTTCGGCTCGGTATGTGTATAGTAATAGTAATAGTCCGCTTATATATGGCGCTCGTATCAAGGCACATTGCCTGCTCACGGCGCTACGTACATTACTGACCGCCTCAGTGGTGTAGTGGTTAGAGCGTACGCCCGGAGAGCGGAAGGTCGCGGGTTCGATCCCTGACCGCGTCATACCAAATGACGTTAAAATATGGTACTTGCTGGTCCCTGCCTGGCGCTCGGCATTAATGGGTACAACAAGGACTGGTCGGCTCGGAGTCAGTATACTATGTCTGAGTGGGGTATTCATGCTTCACTGCGGCATGGTACCTCAGTGAGCTAGCACTATAAAAACAACTTCAGTCTGGGCTAGTACAAGCAGCCGCACATACACATACACACGCATGCACGTCGCCATATGAGCGAAATATTCTCAAGCACGACGTTAAACCCAATTTCACCTCACCTTACTATCCCCGGTCAAGGGACACTATCATACTTTCCGGTACTTTTTCAACTCCCTCTGTAGCATACAGCCATGCTGCCTGTTAGGCGCAATGACCTACACACTCACATTGCCAGCACATTCTCACGGGTACCCATCTTACAGCTGGGTGACAGTCTATTGTGTCTGAGTGTGGGAATCATGTTGAATTGTATCTCAGTTGGCTGGCACTATAAATACGGCTGTAGCTCGGACTAGTACAGGCAATCACGAACACTTGCACGCACGCACGCACACACACGCACACAAGCACATATGCGCGTCGCTATGTGGATGCAGTAATCTTGAACGCCACCTGAAATCCCATTTCACATATCTTAATTAAGAAATGCGTAACCAAGTTTAACCCGTCTTCGCATAGAAGTCAGAAACAAACACAGCCTGTGCGTTATTTGTTTACGACTTAAAAAGGTCTTTGCTCCCGACGAAATGTTCTGTACGCTGAAGTCGCATAATGACGCCCGAGATTGCACAGCTTCAGACACCTGCTACATACCTGCACACCTGCCTTGTGCTGGAGTCAACACCTCAGTCAGACTGCGGACATACGGCATGTATTCTTTTAAAAATATAAACTGAAGGCCTCATAATAATGATCCACGAGGTAGCTCACAGGTGCTTCACACTTAAACATCACTTACAGATACTTTAAAGATGTACTGACGTTTCGAGGCGACCCAGAGGAGAATCTCCACCAACGTATCTTCAACCTTCAAATTTTAATTGTCTTTTAGTTATCCATTCACTTAGGATTAAATCCCTTTCAAATCTCTTCGAAAGGGTGTAGAATTGGTACTGACTTTGTTGAGACTGGGGTTCGCTCCAGAGTACAGATGTTACTAGTCTGTCTCACAGTCCCTGAACCGTATCACTTTCCCTTCTGTCCGACCCTTTCTGCAATGCTAAAGCCCTAAAAGAAGCAAATCTAGATTTGTTCAAGTTCCCTATCTTCCATCTCGCTGGGGCTCCTTTTCTAGTTTAAAAGGAATTATTGGTTTGTATCAAAATTACATACATTCAGAGACTAAGCGTTAGTCCCTGTTGTGCTATACCAGACATCGTGATGGAACGCGGTGGCTGTAAGTATTTTGGTGTACTTCTTCCGAGCAGTTTGAATGTTGCTCGGTTAGCAAAAGAGACCGCCAATGAAGCTGGCGTGATTGGCTTCTGTCTTTAACACCCAGTTGTGATTCTGCCTTTGTGTTCTGAAAGACAGGAAGACGAGCGTGGGGACATGCAGCAGGGAATTTCCCACATCCAGACTATGAAAACACGCATGTGTTTTGCATGTATGTATGTGTAGGATGACAGGGAACGCTTTTTAAGTGAAAGTGGTCGCGCTTCGTTTTGTGATTAGGTGCATGTGTAAGAGAATGTTTTGCAACCGGTTGTAGCTTGCATGGTCTCCTGACTTTAACCCAATGGAACATTTGTGGAATCAGTTCCACTGAAGGTGACCAGTACCTCCACTCAAGACCTGGAGCGAGGTCTCATCGAGACTTCACAAATGATTCCCGCTCGGCGTTTTGTATTCTAACAGAGGTTCGATATAAGCATATACAGTTGGCAACATGCCAGTAGAGTGGTCTCCCCTAGTGCTGTGTAATTAAGTGGACATATTATTACTGTGATAGCCTTATAACTTTTAATGAAACAAGGGCTTCTGTTTAAAGGGTCCTTTATTCAGAAACCACGTGGTCGTCATGGTGGCCATTACACGTACAGCACTCAGGGGAGATCACTCTACTGGTATATTTTACATTGATGCTACATATCGACAACTATATATGCTTATAGCGAACCTCTGTTACCTATGATCCGAAGTACATTTCACCACAATTACATTGGTGAATAGTCACCAAACCGTGACTTACAGCTCTTTTGTTACAAATGTCAATCTCATTTGGACCCACTGCGTATTTCTGTAATGGTTACACGAAAAGTATTTGCTTTAAAGGACTGAAACTTCGTTCAGGGGACGCCAAACGCCAGTATACACACAGTGTGCGAAATAGTTTCCAAATTTTGCCAGCCGGTCGGGCTAGCTATGCCTGAAAGTTACTAGCACACAAAATAATTCACTAGCCCGGAATTTGAATGTAGAAACTTAGCAAACGATAACAAAAAGGTAAAATACCATAAAAAAAAACAAATAAGAAAAGACATCACTTAATTTCTGAAATATTTTGTTTATGCTCAAATAAGTCATCATTAAGCTGCTAATATGATGAACACTTTTATCAGAACATAATATTGCATGATTTAAATGTCGGAGAGAGTGATATATTCACAAAATGACTCCATGAAAATTCACTAGCCAGTCGGGCCAGTGACTATGAAGATTTACTGGCCCGACTGGCTTTTTACTAGCCACGGGCTAGTAGGCCAGTGGTTATTTCGCACACTGTATACAAGCAGATGTCTTATCCTCCAAGATGTTTTTGTTTTCTTTCGATCGTCTTTCACGGTCCGTGTACTTTTATTTGCACGTCAGTTTAATTGGGTTTTCAACGTAAAAATATCCTCATTGTCATCGTTGAGCCGTATTTGTCCAACCCGTACGATAAAGTATATGTATACACACAACGATGGTGTTCTTTGTGTGTTTCTGTCGTTTGACTATACATGAAGAAACATTCACGGGAGACGCATCTTTTTGTCTATTCTCAACCGGGATGCTGCATATCTACGTGAAAATGTTGTCATGCCCACTTGCCCGTGTACACACGCCACTGCTTGGGGCGACTACCCTATGATAACACTACGTTACTGGGACAAATAGACAACTGTGGACACTAGTGGATGTCGTTTATCCAAATACGTATTCGGGTCAAGTGTTTTGTTCAAAAAGTGTTTATTCAAGAATTAGACATAACTTTAAGAAAATATGTACATATTCAATTCAATTCGGTTTTGTAGGCCGTTGGCCCATGTACAATAATAAGACAGTTTACAATATTAAAAGTAGCAAATTATTCAAAGAAAAAAAGCAGTTAACGTATTACAGAACGTATAACAGGTTTTCTAACAGCAAGAGCATCTTTAATATATTTCGAACCAGATAAGGGGCGCACAGGCGTAATGTACGCCTAAAAATCAACGAAGTACGACATAATAAAATATTTTAAGCTCATGATATGCCCATAATACCTTTGTACGTCTAACATATATGAAGTTTAATAGCTGAAAAGTTGTTTAATATTATATATAACAAACCACATCACCAACTCACTCACACAAAAATATGTCAATACTCCTTCAAAATTATCAGTACACCTCCACTTGCAATATGAGGTGTAAGTTCACCCCCACCCCCAAAAGTTATCTGGAGCCCTGGGTACAATTGCTGCTAATGAAATGAATATATATGCAGTCAGAATGCTATCTTGTCCACAATATGGAAAATACTTATCTCTAATAAAATTATATGCTGCACATTCAAGCATGAAGTGAATTTCATCTTCATTCAAGCCGCTGTCACACATTTTACATTTCTTATCAGAATTAATACCTCTAATATTACATCTCAACGGAAGGGCAAGCAAACATATAATTCCCCAAAACTGATCGATATTAAGTAAACGTTCATCGATCTCTATGATTTATATCGATAGCCTGCGCTACGCGATATACGTGGAATACTCTTCAAAACGTCGTTAAACCCGGAAGACGGACGGATTCATTCACAAACTATCACTCAAAGCTCTCCCCATCCTCCACCCCCCACCCATTCCCCCAAAGTAGTTACTCACGTACTATCACCTAAAGCTCCCCTCCCCTCCTATATTTATTAAGTCTTGCTTTCACGAGGTCGGGGTGAGAGGTCACTTGATCTGCTGCAACTCGAACCAGCCTCACAAACTCCCCCACGTCAAAGCTATAGTTGGTGTAGTTGGGTAAGGCGGTCTGAAATGCGACAACACGACGGTGATTTGAGGCAAATTCGACAAAAACGAACTTTACAATGTATTTACCATACGATGGACACGGTATGACAATACAGACAGACAGACAGACAGACAGACATTTTATTTCAGTAACGTAGGCCATTGGCCCATAATACAACATAGTGCAAATATAAAGAATACATACATGCTGGATATAGGATAACGATTGGAATACAGGGTCAATTAGTTGTAGTAGTGGGTTTACTTCTTAGTTTTAATACAGTGGAGAGGAATGTAGTTATTGGTTTTAGATAATTTATGTTGTTGCAAGTAATTAAACGCACAAAGGTTTCAGTTGTTGGAGGGTGGGTTGTGAAACACTTATTTCTTATTTCAGAATATTTGTCACAGATAAGTAGGACATGGAGCTCGTGTTCAACATAGTTTAGGCCAACAGAGTGACAGTAGAGGCATAGAGACGTTGATCATAGGGTGTATTTGTGTGACGACCGGTTTCCACTGCTAATCTAAAGTTGTTACAGCGGAAAATAGCCATAACTTTCCTTTCATAAAGTCAGGTATGACAATAAGATTATTAGAACGATGCGATAAATATTCAAGTGACGTCATTTTGCAGGAATTTCTTCGATGTCCACTTGCCGAAGAACCATTGTATTATGTTTCCAAACAGATAGATTTGTCTTCTAATGAGAGACACTAATGTAACATACAAGATTATATCCTCACTGTAGGCTAACAACATGTACACTGGCGATAAAATTTATGTTTACATTGTGTGATGCATGTACCTCTAGTTGAAATAATTACGTTCACTTAATAAATATAGTATAATGGAAACTCAAAATGTAATAATACGTGATATCTGTTGTTATCTATTTAATGTTCAAAAGATAATAAATACGTTGACCTGATTTAAATAGCCTTAATTTCCATGAATAGTACGAGCGATGTTTTGTTGTTCTGTGACGCCGCACTCAGCAATATTCCAGTCATATGGCGACGGGCTGTAAATAATCGAGTCTGGACCAGACAATCCAGTGATCAACAGCATGAGCATCGGTCTACGCAGTTGGGATACGATGAAATGTGTCAACCAGGTCAGCGAGTCTGACCAACTGATCCCGTTAGATGGGTTGCTGAAGACCAATTCTAACCCGGATCGTCACTCGTCAGTATGAACGATGTGTGTCTGAGCGATATATATTTTTGTATAAAACATGTATGTATTTATCTGCCTCATTCTGAAAAGATTACAAATTACATCTTTAATTACCGTCTGGTATCTATAAATTGCTGCGCTATGAAATATCACCTCTACACATTAATATGTTGAGCCAGTGATCGCAGTTACTGTCGGATTCTGACTAGCTTAGACACATTCTATTATTTCAATGTACCACACTAACGTGTTAGGTTCTTACGTTGCGCATTACATTTACAACATATAGATTGCAAGTTTGTATCTCGAATAAACTGATGCCAAGAAGCCATTCTCCGGATACTTCCGACATTTTCCGAATCAGACAGATCTAAGGGAGATAACTCTAAGTTTGTTTTCTGTCGTCTGTTTCGTGGATAAATGCCCAAATGTGGTAAGCTATATAATTAAGAGTGCGAGGAGATTATTTGTAGTCCACTTATCTCTCGGGTGACATTAGTTGACACACGTATATGTTAAATGTTTAACATAAATTAGACAGAGAGTACATCATCCCGTTTACCTCTCGAGTTCACAACATAAAAAGAATGAAAGCGTATACCAACAAACATGGCTACAACCACAGGGGCTTGTAACGCTAAAAAATGCCATCAAGGTCTATACTGTCACTGACGGGGTCTCAGTACTATAGACCATGATGGCATTTTTTAGCGTTACAAGCCCCTGCGGCTACAACTACAAGTCATTGGAATATTGGAATATATTCGGCGTACAGGCATTAGTTAATATGCAACTTCTATAGCGAATTAGATATATTTGATAGTTTCATTCGATTGTTTTAGGAACAATATGATTGTTCATGTTATGATTGTTCTAAATATACGATTGTTTTATCTGATTGTTCTGCAGATGCCAATGCTTATTTTATCTCATTGTCTTGTTTACGATCTTTGTTTTATATGACTGTTCTGCAGATGCCAATACTGATTTTATCTCATTGTTTACGATCCTTGTTTTATCTGACTGTTTTTCACATTCAATTCTGTTTTATCTGTTCTTACTCTACGAATTCTCTCTTTATTAGATTATTCTTTATGTATGAAAATTTGTTCCATCCGATTGTTCGTTTATCTGCTTGTTCGTTACAGCTGATATTGACCTGACACAACTTCATTTCTCAAATAAACAGTATTTGATGAAAATTCATATAGGTGATGAGTGAGTGTGGTTTTACGCCGCTTTTAGCAATATTCCAGCAATATCACGGCGGGGGACACCAGAAATGGGCTTCACATATTGTACCCATGTTGGGAATTGAATCCGGGTCTTTGGCGTGACGAGCGGACGCTATGACCTCTAGGCTACCCCACCGGTGGTTACCAGATGTTTCTGTATAACAATATTCCCGTTCCGTGCGACTCAATTTCCTCACGAGGGTATAGAAAGTGAAGGAAGTGTGTTACCTTGTTTTCTGGGGTGAGGGTATCCATGTTCTCCCAGGTGAGGTAGTTGATGCCCCTCATTCTGGCCAGGTCGGGGTACATGTCGTCGATGCTGCACCTGTAGCTGAACATTACACACGTCAGTCATTTCTGTCCCAGTACTTATGGGCCCATAGCGTTAATGGACATTGCGAAAAACCGATAGTATAGAGACGTCATACTAGTGCATAATAAGAATGTGTCCATTTATATAGTGCCATACTCCACACTAGGTATGCTCATAGCGCTAACAATCAAGGCACAGCACATTATTACCCCGGATAACCCAATCTGCCTGTTAGGCGCTGGACGGTTATAGTCATATGACCCGCCGGTTTCCTGTTGGGTTTACAGAGACACGTTTGTGGGGCATGACTAAAGTCCTAGAAACTATCAGGAGTCAAGCTGCCAAAGACGGTCACCCATCCAAGGTCTCTCCGAGCTCGACATTGCTTAACTTCACCGATTTGTGACCTGAGCTTTGAGCACAGGACCACAGGCCGCGACATTTGGGCCTCATGTATAGAAGGACTGACTGACTGAGTTTAGTTTTACGCCGCTTTTAGCAATATTCCAACAATATCACGGCGGGGGGACACCAGAAATGGGCTTCACACATTGTGCCCATGTGGGGAATCGAACCGGGTCTTCGGCGTGACGAGCCAACGCTTTAACCACTAGGCTACCTCACCGCCCTTGTATAGAAGGAGATGGTATGTCATGGTTGCAGAGAAACAATTCGTTCTTTTCGTTAAATAGATATGTCGTGGTCACTGCTTTAAAATTCTTTGGTTTGGGTGGGTACGTGTTAAATATGATCAATAAAGTCGGACACCCTCACACTTCATGGTGTCATCGTATCCCAGTTGCGTAGATCGATGTTCATGCTGTTGATCACTGGATTGTCTGCTCCAGACTCGTCTATTTACAGACCGCCGCCATATAGCTGGAATATTGCCGAGTGCAGGGTTAAAAACAAACACAACTTTATCATACGAAATCTCATGGCAAAGCCGAGTCAGTTGTATGTTTCATAAGCTTGTGTCTGTGAAGGACCATCCAACAATCATGATGCCGTGTGTTAGCGAAGAGGGGAGCGTATTCTATCCCATCGAGGGTTCCCGTCACTAAGAAAGGCAACAAGCAAATACGTTAATCTCAACCCAACATGCTTACATTTCAAAGACGGTCGCCCAGTCTGGTAGGTAGAGCAAGTACGTCAATCCTGCGCCGTGGAGGCCAATGAACAGGTCAGTGTTGTGGATAATCTGTGAGTTATAAGACAAAAACGAATCAAAGACGATTGGGTACCATTCCTCAACAATGACCTTGACCTTTATAAACGATAAGCACAGTAAAGTTTGCCTTTACAAAGTAACACTTGGCGGTCTTTAATTATTACATTCCAGTAACATGGTTCATAAGAACACCAGGTGTGTTAACCGTGCTAGAACGTGGCTCTTGATTGTAAATAAAAAAGTGGTTCCCCACTATATTTTATCCTTACTTAATGCTCCCACTTCTCACGCCGAAGACCCGGGTTCGATTCCCCACGTGGGTACAATGTGTGAAGCCCGTTTTTTGTGTCCCCGTCGTAATATTGCTGGAATATTGCTAAAAACGGCGTAAAACCAAACTCACTCACTCAAAGAAGTTAACTTACCCGTAGCTGGTCTGTGAAAGGTACTGATCTGCAACACACAACATTCAACAAAACAATACATTTGTTAAAATCGAATAATGTTATAGAACACGTCTTCATTTCACGGTCTGATTCGCATGAACGTGCGCACACACGACATAGTTGTAAATATTTTACAACAAACACTTACTGAATGTATTACAGTCCCCTGTTTCAAAACATTTGTCGCAAGGGAATTCGCGGATCGAGTTCTAAACTTATTATTGTTTCAATTCCACACCACTTGATAAATACGGAATTGTAAAACTGAAGACTTGCAGCACAACCTAAGAATAAAGATTCAATGCTTACCTATTAAAATCCACCATTTGTACATCCAAGTCTGAGAGTCGTTGTAAGCCGTAAAACAACTAAAAAGAATGGAAATATAAAACTGAAATGTAATATATGATATGAATGGAATCATAATGCTACATCTACAAAACGGTAATGTGATATCTACAGGTAATATATATATTACATACTATGCACATAATGGTTGATATCTTACAGGTAATATATATGTATAAAACACTTTTGATGAAATGGTGAGTTATGGTGAACTGATGAGTATCCATGAATTGATGAGTGTATCTTGAGCTCTACAATGTGTTGGAAGTGGTCTAAGGAGCTTACTTCTTCCTGGTTTAAGATCCGCCGGATTTTCGTACTTCTGACAAGAAATGTCACCCTTAGCTTCGCCGGCTGAACAGAAAAATATTAATAACATGGATATGCATTCAGACAAATGATCGAGTACCGTAATTAGTATTGTATACAGTGATGTGAGGTTAAACAGGGTTTAGTATCGCGTTCAATAATATTTCGGGCGGTGGGGTAGCCTAGTGGTTAAAACGATTGCTCGTCTAGCCGAAGACCTTGGTACAATGTGTGAAGCCCATTTGTGGTGTCCCTCGTCGTGGTACTGCTGGAATATTGCTAAAAGCGGCGTAAAACTAAACTCACTCACTCAATAATATTCACTCACGCGATGTGGCTGCATGGACTAGCCTGGTTTTGTAGTGGCACGTTGATCATTGATACAACACTAGGGTGCATTATACTCACACCACGACGACCAGTCCTCGTTTTATCTGGATAAAATATTGTGTTCAGACACATCCAGACATGTCTAGATCTAACTGGGTGTGAGATCCACAAAGCGTTCGTAACGTTACGACCTGTCGTAACTCTACAGTTTATCACAGGCTTACGAATGTCGTAGCGCTGTACGAACGCCTTGTGGATCGGGGTCCTAGGCTCCTATTCTCGAAAGAATCCTAGCCCAAGGATATCCTAACTTCTGTCTTAAAAATAGTTAGGATCTGTCTTAGCTGGACAATTTCGAGAATAGACACCCAGGTCTTTAACTCCGCTTTGAACAGTATTTACATCTATATGTCTGTTTATTGTGTGAGAAAAACCCGGAGTGATACAGGCCTTAACCGTTTATTTTTGGTGAAACCTACAAGCTAAGGTTTGTTGCTGAGAAACCGAGAAACGTAATGAATCCTGGATTCGAACCCACGATCCTAGTTTTCTGGCGTACCCAAATGGTAATACAATAAATGTACTTTACCTGTATGGCTTCTTGTGTTACTACAACAAAGGATACGGAAGATGGCAAAGAATCTTCACCTATATGATAGTTAAATCATTACGTTCTTTTCGTTCCATGCATTTATATCCCCATTGGAGTAGCCTAGTGGGTAAAGCGTTTGCTAGTCACACCGAAGACCAGGCTTCGATTCCCTACATGGGTACAATGTGTGAACTCAATTTCTGGTTTCCGCGCCGTGATATTGCTTGAATATTGCAAAAGGCGGCGTAAAACCATACTCACTCTAAAAATGGTATACTTGGCTGCAATGGTCAGATTGCATCAAGTCTACCAAAGATCTCCACAAATACACACGCACGCACACGTACGCACGCACGTACACACACGCACACACACACAACGCACTCCGCCAGTACTCTCGCGTAATGACTCACCAGTGGACCTGTTTGTTGAATATTCAGATTATACAACACATGCTCCGAGAAGGCATTCACCAAGCCGCTAATCTTGCATCCCTTTACCTGAAAAAATATCCATGTGTTCACGTCCCCGTTTTACTCTGTGTGTCGTGTATATCAACATGCCTCCAGATTATGTAGGGGCCATTTAGTACTTACTGACAAGTAATCATCCACAAATGAGCATTGATAGATTTATTTCTGTGTTCAATACTTTATCACTCCCTTGGGTCACTCTTTTTCACTCCCTTGGGGCAATTCTATTGGGTATTTTGTAGGGCTGCGCAATGTAACCGGTTTACCGGTATTTACCAGTTGAGACATGAAAACGATACGTATTGCGATACGCTGATCGAAAACCGGTATTTTGACTTGCATTCGGAAAAATTCGTTACACTCGGAAATCTTCGGATATGTCCTTGTTTCATTTGTACCAAATATTATTCATATTTTTTATTTTATCATGATTAAAAAAAGTTGTTATTAAAAGGCTTATCAAGCATAGTGATTTTGTTGTGTTTTGCTCTTTAAATCAAGAATTAACTCGATTATAAGTAGTTTTGTTTTAAAATACTTCATGCAATATATTGCAATACATATCGCAATATATGCTTTCGCATCGCAATATATCGCAATATGAAAATTATCTGCAATACCCACCCCTAGTATTTTGAAACCAATGAGAATACATATTTCAGATAATTCTACTTGTGTTTTATTTCATAAAGTTATGTTTACCAGTATTCCAACTACATGACGGGGCCTGTAAATAATCAAGTCTAGACCAGACAATCCAGTGGTCAACAGCAGGAGCATCGATCTACGCAATTGGGATACGATAACACGTGTCAATTTCACAGTCGGAATGGCAAATTCACAGTGCTCAATAGTGAGCAGATTGAAGTAGGTATTTCTAAGTGTGTATTGTCTTTTTGCCCAGTAGTTTGTTAATCCGTAACATAAACTGACACCTTTTTCACTACTGATGTTTGATACCTGAACAGCTTACCGGTGCTAAGTTGTAATAAATTCCGAGCAACATCCGAGAAGGAAGCGAGAAGATGGCATCTCTAAAACAAACCTGGAACACAATATAATAAAGCTACAAGAGGTCTTTAAATGGGCAAAACACTATTTGGGTAGCGTTGGTAATGCTGTTGTTTAACATCAAGTTTTTGAAAGAGGAAGAATTGAGGTTACAGCGTTCCCTTGTCACATCGAAGCCTCGTGTTCGATTCTGATTATGAAAACACTTACTCGTTCGCTCACTCACTGACACACAAATGCACCCACACGCTCACCAACACACCCACCCAGTCACTCACTCACCCGCCCAACCAACTACCCACTACCCTTACACCCAATATCTCACTCACTCACTCACTCCTCGCCCGCTCGCTCACTGGTAAACACGTCCCACCTTCCGTCCCTCCGTCCCAGCCTCCATCACTGGTAAACGCGACACACCCTCCCTCACTCACCCCTTCACTCACTCATTCCTTCTCTCAATCATTGTTTCACCCACATACTCACTCGGTCACTCACAGACACAAAGATAAAAACTACGTCACCCTCTTCCCGTCCAAGTGTTTCAGAAGCATGACGTCATGCTTGGTAAACGCGCCACGTAACTCCGCCATGTACCCTAGGAGGTCGAAAGCACTCTGAAAAGACAAAAATGAGTTTACAGTACGCAGTGGCTAATTCATGTCGAGTGAGTGAGTGAATGTTGGCATTATTGTTGTCAAAGCGGTATATTGATACTCGATTCGTGAGCAAAATAAACCAGTGGTTGATAGCACGAACAACCATCGTCATCTGGTACGAAAACACGGGGTGGGATATGCAAATACCATTTTTGATTTGGTGATAGACGGAGCATTCACGTTGGTGAAAGTAATAAGAAAGTGAGTGAGTGAGCTGAGTTTTACGCCGCTTTTACCAATATTCATGCAATATCACCGTAGGGCACCAGAAATGCGCTTCACACATTGTACCCATGTGGGGAATCGAACCCGGGTCTTCGGCTAATTAGAATGTGTATCTATCGATTCAGAAACACCAATTTTGACGTTTTACAATATATTTCTAGAACTGGGCCCGTTTGCGCGAAGCGATCTCACCACTAATACAATCCCATACTTTAGCACGAGTCAATCGTAGCATTAAGATCGCCTTGTGGAACGAAGCCTAGGGTCATGTTTCCGGTGTCTTTTGCCGTAAAGAAATCGAACTACCGTGTCCCACACAAGGAGGTTGACGTCTTTGGAGAAGGAGTTGTTGAGGTGCAGACTGATGTAGAGGTTCATGAAAACGCAGGTGTGGTGAAATATGTTGTATTCTGAAATTTAGGAATGTGAAAACAACATGAAAATCTGGACGGGTTACTTCGACCTCCGGCCACTGAAGACCATGTTACAGTTATTATTGATAAATGTATATGTTTTGGGGTTTTGTTGTTTGTTTTTGCTTTTGTATGCTGACCTATAGTTTCGTTAGTATTGCATGTAAAATGTGTTGTTAAAGGGTCAGTATGTCTCAAGAGTAAATATATATCATGGTAAGGGTTCAGCCCTTTAATTCAATATAAACTATTCACACTTTGCTTAAGAATTGCACAAGAACAACTTTACATAAACGTAGGTTTATAATTTGAAATTGTATCCATTTAAAACTAGATAAATAATATTAGGGTAACCCCACCTTAGGCAAACAGTCAATAAGCTAATCTTATGCACTAGATACACGAGTAACCATAAAAATAGTTTTCATGGCACCAATCAATCATTTTGCAAATCATGGAACGAGTCATTGACAAATAAACAACACCTGTCAAAAGCAGGTATGGCCGGGATCCACAAGTTGCAAGACATACTGACAAGCCTAGGATCCATGCTTACAATAAGCTTACTAGGTATTTAAATCCAATTTGACCCCATATCATAGTTTTCTGTTGAATCCATGATTTGATCCTTATCAAAGTGTGAATAATATATTTGTGACAAATACAGCAATTGAAAATATCAAGCTTGATGCTATGTATATCATATTCCACAATGTGTATACCAGGTGTGACGGTGTATCGTGTTCCCTGATGTGTATAAGAGGTCTGACGGTGTCATATGTTCCACAATGTGTATATCAATTTCTAAATGAGTACAACGGGTTTGACGGTTTGTATATCAGGTTCCACAACGAGTATATCAGGTGTGATGATCACAACAAGCATGTTAGATTCAACAGTATCCAGATCAGGTTCAGGATTTATATATCAAATGTAATAGTGTGTATATCAGATTCCGCATGACGGATCAGGTCTTTGAGTGTTTGATCATTTATTTCTGAGAACTACCTCATAATGAAAATAGTAACACAAACTAGGATAACACAATCAAGGATTCAAAGGACACACGACACCATTCATACCTTCGTCCATTTTGATGATGACGGTTGGTCTGTCGATGATGACGTCACACTCACCAGTAGCCAATGGCTGCGTTGGAAGAGATGAAAAATGTTCCATCTCCTGCATCCTGGGGAACACGTGGTAGAGTTACAGGATAATCGTGGAGTAATCAACATTCAACACCATTCATCCGTTTTAGTTTAACATTCAACGCCATTCGTCTGTTTGGGTTTGTACTGGTCTTAACGATGGTGCGCGTACCTTCAAGCCCGTTTGGCATGACAAAACTATGGTGGCTGAGCTGGGCATCGCTTTTTTATTTTAATAACGGTAGCGAGATTGCGATATAAGGATACACGAGCCGAGATGGCGAACGGTACTCGTGTCGTCATTTTGACAGGATGTAGACTGAGTATGACTCATGATTTGACGGGATATAGACAGACTACAAAACATGGATTGCTAGGATATAGATGATTATAACACATGGGTTGACAGGATATAGATGATTATAACACATGATTTGACGGGATATAGACGGACTATAACACATGGATTGCAAGGATATAGATGATTATAACACATGGGTTGACAGGATATAGACGGACTACAACACATGGATTGCTAGGATATAGATGATTATAACACATGGGTTGACAGGATATAGATGATTATAACACATGATTTGACGGGATATAGACGGACTATAACACATGGATTGCTAGGATATAGATGATTATAACACATGGGTTGACAGGATATAGACGGACTACAACACATGGATTGCTAGGATATAGATGATTATAACACATGAGTTGACAGGATATAGACGGACTACAACACATGGATTGCTAGGATATAGATGATTATAACACATGGGTTGACAGGATATAGACAGACTGCAACACATGGGTTGCTAGGATATAGATGTTTATAACACATGGGTTGATAGGATATAGATGATTATAACACATGATTTGACAGGATATAGATGATTATAACACATGATTTTTCACGGGATATAGACAGACTACAACACATGGATTGCTAGGATATAGATGATTATAACACATGGGTTGACAGGATATAAACAGATTACAACACATGGATTGACAGGATATAGATGATTATAACACATAGGTTGACAGGATATAGATGATTATAACACATGGGTTGACATGATATAGACAGACTACAACACATGGATAGCTAGGATATAGATGATTATAACACATGATTTGACAGGATATAGATGATTATAACACATGATTTGACAGGATATAGATGATTATAACACATGATTTTTCACGGGATATAGACAGACTACAACACATGGGTTGACATGATATAGACAGACTACAACACATGGGTTGCTAGGATATAGATGATTATAACACATGGGTTGACAGGATATAGATGATGTATAGACATCTGATGTATCTATCACTCGGGGTTGTAAACGTGTGTTTTAGACAAGCAAATGGGACGACTTCACCAGGGACTGTGATAACATGTGAAAGAATGCTGACATTTTCATTTAAAGTAAATTTTACTGCTCTATATCGATACAGAAAGCCTGGGGACTTCCTATTATAGGTCATGTCATGTTTCTCCATTGAAGCAATTGACGATGTTTTTGACTGTCATTCGGAATGCCTCCTGTTAACCTTTTCAAAGCTGCATGACATTCGTCACCTCTCGCCCCTTTCCGTAACCTCCAAGAAGGCTTGTCCCGGAATAACACGAGTTGGTCACGAATGACTGCATGATTCGAAAACAAATTTGAACTTTCACTTTCGCGATTTCTCGTTGTGACGTGATTTGTAACGGGATATACTCAGATCTGTGTGTAATGTTAACGAGCACTGACATAGTGTTTTAGATTACCATGAAGCCAGGGGCCGCTTGTTGATTACTGGTGACGTCATGGCTGCATCTAATCCAACCTTGTCTAGGTCACAGTGACCGCCAAATGTAATATTATGGACAATATCGTTCCTGTACCTGTAACATAATGTCGAGAATCAAAGTCGTGGTTTAATGTTCTTGAATTATGTTTTCACCCCTTCCACTTCAAAATGGTATCTGCTAACATGTAGACTATTGAAGGTAAAGCAAAGTTAAAGCTACACTCTGCTCCCGAAGTATATGGGTTAAAGATGCTTCTTTTATGATTGAATGCTATGTGTAACAAACTGAAGGGCTACAATAGTTTTCAGGGTTTGTGTTTTTAGGTAATTGAAAATCCGAATAAGTTTTTTTAATTTTTTTTTACAATCATTCATTCCAGTCTGAAAAACCCGTTGCTGGATTTAGTGTAATTTGAGGTTGAGAGAACCACGGGAATGGCCCCAGGGTTATTCCCCTGGATCTAGAGAGGATGGGTTGTAAGATGGGTGCGACAAACACTTTCACCTGTCTCTGGTTGCCATGTTGGCGTTACGTAGGTCCAGGTACACGTTTCTCCCTCGGCAGAACCCGAGTGCATCTGTACACTCCAGGGACGAGTCAGTCTGTAGAAGAGAGAGTGAGTGAGGGAGGGAGGAGAGAGGGAAAAGGGATGGAGGGGAGTGAGTGGAGGTTGAGTGGGCTGAGGAGAGTGTGACGGAGAGCGTGGGGGAGGTGTGAGTGACGGAGAGAGTGGGGAAGAGGAGTGACGGAGAGAGAGTGGAGGAGCGAGACGAGGGGAGAGTGGGGAGGAGGGAGGTGAGTGACGGGGAGAGAGGAGGGAGGAAAGGAGGACCGGAGAGTGGGGAGGAGATTGAGTGGAGATGGAGTGAGTGGAGGATGAGTGACGGAGGAGGAGTGGGACAGGAGGACAGGAGTGGAGGAGAGACGAGAGTGAGAGGACACGACGGAGAAGGACGGAGGGAGTGAGGAGAGAGGACAGGACGGAGGAGGAGAGTGGAGGACGGAGTGACGGAGGAGAGTGAGTGGAGGTGGACGGAGTGACGAGGAGGAGTGAGTGGAGTGAGTGGACGGAGAGGAGGAAGGAGGAGGAAAGACGGAGACGAGGAGTGGAGGAGAGGGCATGGAGGAGTGAGACGGAGAGAACACTGAGGAGGACGGAGGACGGCATGGAGGACGGAGGGGAGGAGCGTGAGTGACGGAGAGAGTGCATGACGGAGGAAAGGAGTGAGAAGGAGGAGTGCATGATTTGAGAAAGTGGAGTGACGAGAGAGGATGAAGGAGAGAGAGGAGGACGGAGAGCAGGGGAGGAGGAGGACGGAGTGGACGGAGAAAGAAGTGAGACGGAGGTGAGGAGAGAGAGTGGGGAGGAGGGAGTGACGGAGAAAGGAGTGAGTGACGGAGAGCGGGGAGGAGAGGAGTGACGGAGGGAGGCAATGACGGAGTGAGGAGGACGGAGGAGGAAAAGGAGGAGTGGAGGAGAGGACGAGTGAGGACAGGAGGATGAGGACACAGTGAGGACGGAGAGAACGAGGTGGAGAGACAGTGAGTGAGGACGAGAAACTGAGAACCCCAGGACAAAGATCCCTAGAACCCATGAGCCAACCCATGCACGAACAGGACAACCCACACAACTACACACACACACACAGGCATGAATTGTACGACACAATGAAAACTACACAGCATGACCGGAAGAAAAAATGGAATGGACACAGTGGACAGCACACAGAGTATCCCAGACTTTATACAGAATGGAAATGGAAGACCACAGAATAATGGTATGGTGACACACAAAAGCCAGAAGAGATCCATCAGGAACTGAAAGAATGAGCCGTATCAGGGACAGCAGACAGGAACAGCCCGGACCTGTGCATGGACCTGACACATGGACATGAGAGCCCCATGTGGAATGGACAGGACCTGACTTTATGGACCCGACCCCGACACAGACAGACACCACACAGAAAGGACAGAGACACAGACACACGAGACCATCCTGTGGAAGGAGGACAGCCACCGAGCCTTGATCATCTGATCCCCAGGACCAAAGGACACACAGTGGATCGACACCACGACCACACTGACACAGACACATATAACTGGAGTGAGTGGAGTGACAAGGAAAATATGCCCCACACACCCAGGAAATGGACCACACAAGAATGGAACTTGGCCTAGGACAACTGAAAGAATCTTTAATCACAAAGAACGAAGGAGAGACAACACAATGAACAGCCTTTACAGCCTGACTTCACACAGTAGGTAGAATTGGGAAACTTAATAGGTTTGGGATTACACACACACATGAAAGCTTAGTTCCACATATGTATAGAAATAATGTATGAATAAACATCTTCATACATGAACATACATACACATGCATATATATATACATAATAATATATATGAAGCATACACACAGCACACAGTATATATATATATACACATATATATAACACAGCATGCATGACATGCATGCATACACACACACACACATTATACATATACACATATGAAAGACACAGTGGTATGCATGCATAGAAGAATATATATATAATAATATGAAGACACATGGACACAACACATATATACATACACATGCATATACACACACACACATGGCATGGACAGAAGCATAATAATAATAATAATATATATGACACATATATATTGGATACTTATATAATGGAACATATATATATATATATATATATATGAATATATATATATATATATATATAATGAAGAAGGACACACACATGAAGGACACACACATATATATATATATACACATTATATATACACACTTAATGGACACATGCATATGGACACACAATCACTGCTACTACCACTACTACTACTACCACTACTACTACCACTGCTACTACTACGACCACCAACACTACTACTACTACTACCACATACTACTACTACTATATATATAGCATATATATATATATATATATATATATATATATATATGGGATCAGGGATCAGGAATGATTAATTAGGTTAATAATACATTGGGAATCGAACCCAATCTTCACCATCAGGACGGAAAGATTCAGTAGTCAGGCTACTTGTGTCTCACCTTATAAGGGCAGGCATCCTCATCCTTACAACGCTGTTTGATGTCAGGATTGTTCCTGAAGAAGTAAGGCACATGTTCCAGGGGGAGTCTCAGGTCCCCCCAGTCAGTGGCGCCACCTACCGTCACCACCAGAGTGAGTAAGTGAGACCACATCCCTAGCATACTGCAAGAGAAGCCATGGCAAGATATCACATTCTGACATGAAATGAATTTCAAAATATATGGTTGCTAAGTAGTGTTTAAGAGGATAATTTCATGTATGCAATGAATATTTAAAATATTTACGTTTTAGTTACATGTAATTTAATGAAAGGTCGGTGTACGTTTTCAGTCCGTACCAGCTTCCCAGCCAAAATACCGAATAGTGTCATCAGAATTGATAAATTATCTGCAAATTGTAAAATCAAATTTACTATTTCGACGTACAATACGTTCCCAATTCTTCTCATGTGGACAATTGTCTAGGTTATAATAGGGTTTTAAAAAGACCAAGCATTTTCAATTGGTAACGTTAAATTGTTATTTTATTTGTTTCAATATTTAAAACTTTGTTTTGCACCGATGGTAAATTCGTAATAGAAAGTCGATGTCAATAAAGTAGAGTTTTTAAATATTTATTTTCATTTTATTTATAGGCGGTATTTAAAAAATGGCCAAATTAATTTTTATTTTCACTTTAACAAAATTACAGTCGGCGGATCCGTAAACCAAGAAATATAAAAAGTGCGGCCTTAAAATCGATTCTGTTCTTGGCAGTGAATTCTGGAATGTGGAAAGGGTTTTGTTGCTATTATACACAAGGTTATTCGTATTAGTCAAGACTACCCTAAGTACATGTACGTCTTGGATCCAGAATGGTCCTTACATGACTATTTAAAATATTGTATCCACCTACATCGCCTTATACAATTTAGTTCTTTTTCAACAAAACCTAGCATGAACGTACGAAAGTCAAAGGTATAAAATGCATACATGGAAATGATATAGCATTGTCACATGATCTACATACATGACATTCTTGCATTTTCATATGACACCCTTACCTGAGCGTCCGCCCGGAGAGAGGAAGGTCGCGGGTTCGATCCCCAACCGCGTCATACCAAAAGACGTTAAAATATGGTACTTGTTGGTCCCTGCCTGGCGCTCGGCATTAATGGGTACAACAAGGATTGGTCGGCTCGGAGTCAGTATAATGTGTCTGAGTGGGGTATTCATGCTTCACTGCGGCATGATATCTCAGTGGGCTAGCACTATAAAACCAGTTTAAGTCTGGGCTAGTACAAGCAGCCGCACATGCACATACACCCGCATGCACGTCGTCATATGAGCGAAATATTCTCAAGCACGACGTTAAACCCAATTTCACCTCGCCTCACCTTACCTTATATCATCACATGACAACCCTTTATATCTTCACTTAACATCTACACACATGACATCTCTTACACCACATCCAAACATGACTGACATCCTTACACCCCACATCAACACATGACACCTTACACCACATCCAAACATGACACCTTACGCCACACCCACACATGACACGTTACACCACATCCACACATGACATCCTAACACCACATCCTCACATTACACCTTACACCATTTCCACACAATACACTTTACACCACATCCACACATGACATCCTTTTTAATCTTATCTCTTCTTCACATGACACCTTACACCACATCCACACATGACACCTTACGCCACACCCACACATGACACGTTACACCACATCCACACATGACATCCTAACACCACATCCTCACATTACACCTTACACCATTTCCACACAATACACTTTACACCACATCCACACATGACATCCTTAACTTATCTCTTCACATGACACCTTACACCACATCCACACATGACACTTACGCCACACCCACACATGACACGTTACACCACATCCACACATGACATCCTAACACCACATCCTCACATTACACCTTACACCATTTCCACACAATACACTTTACACCACATCCACACATGACATCCTTAACTTATCTCTTCACATGACACCTTACACCACATCCACACATGACACCTTACGCCACACCCACACATGACACGTTACACCACATCCACACACCTGACACCACTTCCTTACACCACATCCACACAAGACATCTTACACCAGAACCTCACATGACACCTTACACCACATCCACACATGACACCTTACACCACATCCACACATGACACCTAACACCACATCCACACATGACACCTTACTCCACATCCACACATGATACCTTTCACCACATCTCACCTTACACCTTACACCATTTCCACACAAGACACCATACACCACATCCACACATGACACCTTACACCACATCCACACAAGACACCTTACACCACATCCACACATGACACATTACACCACATCCACACATGATACCTTACTCCACATCCACACATGACACCTTACACCACTTCGTTACACCACATCCATACAAGACATCTTACACACATCCACATATGACACCTTACACCACATCCACACAAGACATCTTACACACATCCACACATGACACCTTTAACAACATCCACACATGACACCTTTCACCACATCCACACATGACACCTTACTCCACATCCACACATGACACCTTACACCATTTCCACACAAGACACCATACACCACATCCACACATGACACCTTACACCACATCCACACATGACACCTTACACCACATCCACACATGACACCTTACTCCACATCCACACATGACACATTACACCACTTCGTTACACCACATCCATACAAGACATCTTACACACATCCACACATGACACCTTTCACCACATCCACACAAGACATCTTACACACATCCACACAAGACATCTTACACACATCCACACATGACACCTTTCACCACATCCACACAAGACATCTTACACACATCCACACATGACACCTTTCACCACATCCACACATGACACATTACACAACATCCACACATGACACCTTTCACCACATCCTCACATGACATCTTACACACATCCACACATGACACCTTACACCACATCCACACATGACATTTACACCACATCCACACATGACACCTTACACCACATCCACACAAGACACTCTTCCTTTCACTCACATCCACACAAGACATCTTATTACACACATCCACACATGACACCTTTCACCACATCCACACATGACACCTTTCACCTCATCCACACATGACACCTTACTCCACATCCACACATGACACCTTACACCATTTCCACACAAGACACCATACACCACATCCACACATGACACCTTACACCACATCCACACAAGACACCTGACATCACATCCACACATGACACCTTACACCACATGCACACATGACACCTTACTCCACATCCACACATGACACATTACACCACTTCGTTACACCACATCCATACAAGACATCTTACACACATCCACACATGACACCTTTCACCACATCCACACAAGACATCTTACACACATCCACACAAGACATCTTTCACACATCCACACATGACACCTTTCACCACATCCACACAAGACATCTTACACACATCCACACATGACACCTTACACCACATCCACACATGACACCTTACTCCACATCATGACATGACACCTTACACACATCCACACATGACACCTTACACCACATCCACACATGACACCTTACACCACATCCACACATGACACCTTACTCCACATCCACACATGACATCTTACTCCACATCCACACATGACACCTTACACCACATCCACACATGACACCTTACTCCACATCCACACATGACACACCTTACACACATCCACACATTATCTCCTACACCACATCATCACACATGACACCTTACACCACATCCACACATGACACCTTACTCCACATCCACACATGACACCTTACACCACATCCACACATGACACCTTACTCCACATCCACACATGACACCTTACACCACATCCACACATGACACCTTACTCCACATCATCACATGACACCTTACACCACATCCACACATGACACCTTACTCCACATCATCACATGACACCTTACACCACATCCACACATGACTTCCTTACACAAGATCCTCACATGACAACAATCACTTTTCATCCTTACATGATACCCTAAAATAGTACATTCTAACACAATAGGCCATTCTAACACAATAGTACATTCTTACACAATTTTCTTTCATTCTTAAGTTACATATTTTCAGGACATCCTTACATGACATCAATATTTTGCATCCTTTTCAAATTAACATAACATCGTAAAATCCTTCCGTAACATCCTTACATGGCCTTTCATGGCCGCATAAGGTATTTACATAATGTCCCAACATGACATTCTCACATGTTAACTTTACAAACATCCTGAGACGACACTGCTTAAAACGCACAAAGATCCGTAATGACAAATTAGTTAGCATCAGACATTGCGAATTTCAGCTTGGCTGCTTCTCGCGACGTCATTGTCCTATCAGCTCTAATCAATACTAGCCCGGGTTACACAGGACAGGCTTTTGTTATTGTTAATGCACCGAAACAACAAACAGGCCGGATTCTACCGGTCACCGTTCACTGGCTTTCCAGGTCACAATGCCTCCGCGGTCACCGTCTTTAGCTGACATTTGACTCACACTTGCAGTTTTAATGTTGATGATGATGCTGATTTCTTTGTTTTATCCCCTTAATGCCTAGCACCGGGAGGGGTATTACCAGGAACCATCTTTAAAGTATATTTGTAAAGGTATTTGTTTCAAAGTAACACTTATGCACAGAACAAATTAATGGATTCACAAATTGGTAAACAAGTCTCAACATCGAATGCATTTGTTCAAGGAACGTTCTCAGTGTTTGATGGCCATGTCCTATCGTGATCTAGATGTTGAAACCAGTACCATGTTCGTTCGTTCGTCCGTTCGTTCGTTCGTGTGTCTGCAAATCTCACTCAACAGAGAGTAGTCTGCAAGCAAAAATTATTCTTGCATATCATCGTATCCCAGTTGCGTGGAACAATGCCAGTGTTGTCGATCACTGGATTGTCTGATCCAGTTTCCATTTTAACAAACCGCCGTGACAGGAATCTGTTGAGTGCTGCATTAAACAACAACCAAGACATCAGTGTGACGGTACGACGCAGGT